AATAATTTTCTGAATTAATCATATCTTTAAAATTTCAAAGTCCTTTGAAAAAATCCTGACGTCTGAGTGAACAATTAAAAACACAGTTTTACTATATTTGGCCCATAGTTTCGTGAGTATATCGATTCACGGTGTTATCAATTACAGCGGAGCTCATAAATCGTCTATTACATAGAAAAAATTTAAGACTTAAGATATTGACGCTTAACACGCCTTGTGAATCCCCTAATTATATTATGCGTTGCCCAACGGCTATGTATATTGTTTGTTATTTCGTTTCATATAAGCAATTAACTTATATTCTAAATAGTTGCGTTCGATAACAAAATTAGCCAACACCAGCCAACAATCAAAATCAAGAGAGTAAGCGAAAATTCTCTCCCAAAGAGATGAAAAAGCAAAAAAGTAAACGAACAGGAAATTAGCCATTACTTGCAAAAACCTAAGAAGAAGACACACCAGCTGACTTTGTTTATGTTTTATTTGTAAACAAACTGAAATTCATGTTGCCTCCATAGAGAAAAAAGGAAAGTGAACGTTCAATGTTCGCCAGGAACATTACTAGAAGTAAAAACTAGTTGGCGCTATCATAAAGTCACATAGCAGGCTGCCAAAAAGCATATAAATACCAAAACTCGGAAAATGCAATTTTGTTTGTTTACAAAAATTGCAACCATATGTTTTGTGATCATATGTTTTCGTGTTGGATAATTTTTGCTGACTAAAATTTTGCCAGTACAAAATGAACGCTTCTCTTGCATCAAAATGAACGCTTGCTCTCTCAATTTTTGTGTGTTGGATAATTTTTTGTCGTTATCGAACGCCATCCAGTAAAAATTTGGAAAAACTATTACAAATTTTTGACTTGTCGAACGCACCTAATATAAACTACATCGGAACACAGATGATTTTTTTCAAAATGTTTTGACGAACGCGTAGCCTACCGGCTAAATTTTTTGTGGAGTTACTTTTTCGTGCAGGTAAAATCGCTCTAAATATGAACCGACCATATATCGATACCGGAGTGGAAGATCAACCTATTCGGCCGCCAGTTCAAAAACGCCCTATCCCAGAAAACCTTTCGAGAACGCCCTAATTCAGAATTTGTTTGAAAAACACGTTATCTCAAAATTTGATTAAAGAACGCCCTATCTCAGTTGCCAATTCAAAAACGCCCTATCTCAGCACAATCAAATTCTGAAGTAAGGCATTCTTAAAAAGTTTTCAGAGATAGGACGTTTTCGAACTGGCTGCCGAGATACTAATCTTCCACGCAGATGTACATATGCAGGTATTGAAATACATATGTATATACACCCCCGCGTCACCCGTAAGTAATATACATTCCAAATATGAACCAAATCAGACCAAAAGTACAGGGTTTTCAAATAACTCGACCCCTGCGCCACCTACGGGATTAATTCACTCTTCACGTCCTCTAAGCGCCGTAAAGATTATGAGCGAGACAACAACGGAGGCCCTACGTTCTTCTTACATCACACTGTGCAGTGTTGTCTCATCGAAGATTTATGACCGCAGGGACACCACCTTAGAATATCAGTGTATAGTCATCCGGTCAGGATAAGTCGAGCTAGAAATTTTAACGGTGAATTTACATTGAATCTCCCGGGTTAAAGTTACACGTGCAGCGAAAAGAAGGCTGCACAACCTGCTAAACCTAGTGCGGCTATGCTTTAACCAGGTATGAGCTCAAGCAGTACATAATTGAGAAGTCAAAGGCCTCCAAAGTCATTGACGCCGACGGCCACTCTTATCATTCAAGAAGACTTTTATCACCTTATAAATCTCCTTTGTACAGATTTGTGAAGAAAGTTTTTGCCGTTTTACCTCACCCTGACTCCCACTACGCGTCAACGTAGCTTTCGTTAAGTACACAGATATCTTTTAAGAAGAAACTTCGAAGCCAAGAAAAAGTTGTGGTTATATTTTTTATTCAGTTTACAATAATAACATACACTACTGAATAACAATTTTTAACAACATAACCAGGCAAGTGTGAACAACCCAATTGTTTTTACTCATATGTGATAAATCAAGGCGAATTCATATAAGATGGTGTTTCCAGACAGAGTTGGGCAAAATTTATTCGAATGACGAATAACAAATGAATAAATTGTGTTTCTTGTTATTCGTAGATAATAAATAATTTTGTTTATTCAAAAAAAAATTATTCGAGTGACGGATAAATTATTTTATTCGTTATTCGAATAATTATTATCTTCATTAATTATTCGAATAACGAATAAAATAATAATAAAAAAAGTAATTTATGTATATAAATATGTACACACATTTATGTATAAAATGATAACCGTTTTCGTTGTTACGATTTAACTCAAACCCCTGGATAGATTTAAGTCAAATTTTCGGAGGTTATTCCCTGCGCATTAAGTCCTATTAAAGGCTACTAGAATACTCCTTGGTGGCGATGGAGCCGAGTTATTTATAAAAGCCGTATTTATGAACCGATTGCGTTCGAATTCAAAATGTGTTCTTCCTGCATGATGAAAAATACTTATGCGAAAAATGGACCCGCTAGGTGGCGCTGCAGTTGAGTTATTTATTTATTGTACAATCAGGTTGCAATTCATAATGGTGCTGCTGTCGAAATCATTAGAAACCCCATATGTCTGCACTACTTTGTTTTTTTTTTGTTTATATTATACGAATTTACGATGTCTTCGTCATACACCCTAAATGCGACCTTGCATCTACCTCCGCTTGATGAAATTGCTCGGACGGCCATTGCTGCAGCAGTAAGACTCAAGGAAACCAGCTCTTGGATATTTTAAAAGTGGCGAATCAGCAAGGAAAGTTTCGACCACATCCTTCCAAGAAAGACCACTGTTGGTATATCAATGGTCAAATTTTACATCGAGGATTTTTGGCTCTCTTATAATAGAAAACGCACATCTGTGCTCTTGAGCTTCCTTATAAGGACTTGTGTAGGCCTAGATGACATAAGACTAGAGGTTGACGCATCGGACCAATGTTGTAGTTGCAAGATCATAGAAGAAGATTACGCACGCTTAGAAAAGATCTCACAAGTGGAAACAAGACCATCGGTAAAGCTCATGATATTGAAAGGGATTTTTTCTTGCATATAGCATCAGAGCGCTATTTTTTTGGCAGAAATATGTGTGAGAAGAGTTCTGTTCTTTAGTTGTTCAACCTAAATTAAGAATTTTTACTTTACCCATATTTGGTTTTCAACGCTATTCTTGCATTGGCCAACGCAAAAAATCTTATCAGGGGCCGCGAAACCAGAGAGGATGGGCTACTATTCTTGATAAAATAGTAAACAGAATTCAGCTAACTCACAATCCTTGACAATAGAAATAAAAGTAAAAGGTGGCTCAATGTGTTAAAAATGAGTTTTTATTCATTATTTAAAATAACGAATAAAATAACGAATAAATTATTCGAAAGCAATTTATTCACGAATAATTTATTCGTGAATGAGTTATCTGCGAATAATTATATTACGGATAAAATTTTATTCGAATAATTATCTAAATAACAATTTATTCGAATAACGCCCAACTCTGTTTCCAGAGCAGCTGTATTCTCGCCTCGGTGGTTCTTAATTTCAAAATGATGTATTTGTGATAAATCTCACTGTCATTGCATTGTCACTGCTATCATTTTATATGAATACGCCTTGGGAAAGATTGTATTTTTTTGATTGTATATTTCATACACAAAACTGGGCTCAAATCATGGAATCCGTGATCGAATGAAATTCGTTTCGCATCGAAAGAAATAAAATTACAGCTGTTTTCACTCAAATTTAATTTAAATTGAAAAAGCAAACTCGCTACCGAATGCCGTAATATCAAAAAGAAATTTCGATTCGAATTGGATTCGATCACGAATTACTCTCCACTTCAAAATTGTTTCATTAAAATTAGATTTGAAATGCCCGAAGTTTGCAGACCATTAATTTGTCAGTCTCACTCACAATTTCACTTTAATTTGGTTATGGTCAGAGTTAACTTTTTATTTTTAACCGACTTCCAAAAAAGGAGGAGGTTATCAGTTCGTCGGAATCTTTTTTTTTTTTCTTTTTTTTTTTATGTATGTTACCGCATAACTTTGGACCACGTCAACCGATTTCGATAATTCTTTTTGCATCGGAAAGGTAGTGTCTCAGAGGTGGTCCCATACTACCCGTTCAGTGGATCAAGAGATATATATATATATATTTTTTTATATGAGAGTTGAAGTCGGTTTTTTTTTTGCTAAAAATTACTTGTTATTATATTTAGGTGTGCTCGATGACAAAATATGTTTACACTGCGTTCATTTAAATCTGTTTGCTTTCTTTCCGGAAAATATTGGCAAGTATTTTGACTTTGTTGGTAAAAATTGTAGAAAACAAGTAATTTTTAGCAAAAAAAAACCGACTTCAACTCCCATATAAAAAAAAAAATATATATATATATATATCTCATGATCCGCTGATCTTAACCAGATTAGTATGGGACCACCTCTGAGACACTACCTTTCCGATGCAAAAAGAATTATCGAAATCGGTTGACGTGGTCCAAAGTTATGCGGTAACATACATAAGATTCCGACGAACTGATAACCTCATCCTTTTTTGGAAGTCGGTTAATAAAATGGAGCTAAAAAGGTGGTAGATCTACCAACAAAGTGGTAAGGACCGTACACTGTACTGACGCCTGCACAGAGTCTTACCTTTTATCATAGTTACAAAAAACGGCAAAGTTTTTTTACCACTTCAACGAAAGAGGTCAAACTGCAATTAGGTGTCCACGTGGCATTTAGCGCTATGGGTTATGTAATTCTTACGCTTTCATTTATTTAATTTACGCTTAGATTTAACGCTTTTACATTTTAGTTCCACCAAATATAACACCAAAACCAAAAGAAAAGCAAAATAAAACTTATTAACATTTTAAACTGGTTAGTTAAATTTACGGAAAGCATAAGAAAACCAAGAAAAAATTACTTACCCTCGTATCCCTCATTATCGTGAATTTCCCGCGCAGGACCAACAATGTTCTCCTTACCCTCAAGCACAGCCAACAAACACTGATGGATGCATATATATTGCTGTTCCGTTTGCACCATCCAAACACGTTCTAGAAATAAAGTTGGTTAGAAAAATATTCTCATATTATTAAGATAATAAAATTATAAAATGTAGTACCTTTACGCATGGCATAGACTATACCGAAAATATCGACAAAATCGGACGTCTTTATCTGCTGTAGAATACGATCGAGTGTGATGAATGTGCCGGACCGACCTACACCAGCACTACAGTGCACCACTATAGGACGTTGATCGGTGCCAATACGATCCCGGAAGGCACGTACGAAACGAACCAGAGTTTGTGGAGGATTTGGCACACCGAAGTCAGGCCAAGTGGTAAAATGGAAGTGACGCATTATGCGCTGCTCGCTGCCCTGTTGGGTAACATTTCAGAACATACTTGATTGTAAAACTACGAATTTAGTAATTATTTAAGAAACTTACCCTGCACAGCATAAACTCGGTCATTACCCAGTCGGCATAATGACTGTCATTCAATATTTGCACTTTGATGTCCCCATAAAAGACTGGTACCGTGTCATTTGGCCAATACTGATCGCACTTCTCGCGTCCCTTCTCGAAGCAGCGAGTCAACATTACAATGGCACGCGAGTTACTCTCCCAACACATGCGCCAAAAGTCGTCGCGAGTCGAATGCAGTGGGCCTTGTGTGACAATGAATTCACGTGGCGAGTTATGACCCGGCACATAATTTGCATTGATATAATCGGAGCCCTCATCATCGTCCACAGGTTGCAGCTTGAAGCGGGAGTGATCATAGGGAAGAATGTTGGTAAAGCGGTTTTTAGGACGATTGCATGGCAGATCGGCGAATGTGCATGGCTGATCGCGACCTATATGCTTTAATTCTTCGAATTCCTCACTAAAGCGGAAATCGGAATCGGCCGACATGAGCCGATAGTGTTCAGCGAAGTTCTTTATCAAAACTGGTCGATTTTGTTCGATTACGCTGTCTGGCAGAGACATGTTGTCGTTGGCACGAGAGTCTTTAGTGGCTTTGCGGCAACTGTTGCGGCGACGTTTGAATACAAAAAGAGTGATGAGTAATACAAATATGATGGTAAGTGGCACGGTGATGGCAACGATCAGCGAAGTGTTGTCTTGATCTGTGAAGAAGGAAATACATATGTGCTGAGTATGTACATAAGAAAACGTAGGAATTTGAGCATAGTAAATAAAAATAATAAACATTAAAGCTGTGTGCGGCTTCGCCTGACCTATAGTATACTCACCAGGGGAGATTAATAAATCTTTTAGTAGAATGTGTAAGACATAGTATAAATTAAAGAGGAAATTCGTAAGCAAACCTCAGTGCACTATTTCATAAGCTCCTTCCTTAATTTCTATGTACTCACCTGTTTGAATTGGGAAGCTGTAAGCAGTGTCCGTAAATTTGTCGGGTGCTGTGAATGCTCTCACTTTCACCCTGTACGTAGTACCAGATTTCAGCGGTCCATTGCAGTAGCCTATTTTCCGGTTATCACAATTTTCTGTTCCAATAGTAAAGTCCTCCACGGATCGATTTTCAAATGGGTAATATGGATCGATTGCCTGATATGGCAGCCATACACTATACGATTGTACGTCATGCCAACTGGGCATCTCCAGTCCTGAAGCATTTTTGGTGTCATCCTCGGCGACGATAATTGTGTACCAGCGAACCTTAAATGAAAAATGTGTATTCATATACATACCTACACTCGTATGGACTTATGAATGTATGTGGCTAGTTTTCGGGGCACCGATGCCATGAATTGTGAGATACATATATAGAAACTTATTTGGAACTATTGCAGAGAAATTATGTACATACATAAATGCGAATGATATTTTGGAGAAAGGAGATACGGCAAATTTCCATGATAGAATATAATCTCGTGAAATGTTCCAGTTGCTGATGTTATCTCCCGCCCATATCGAACCACGCGAGTGAGTGATTGAACAAAGCAGGTTGAACGAAGTGCTCAAGTAATATTTAAATAAATATAAGAGCATATTTTAGGCACTCAATCCTGTTTTGATTTTATTAAAAAATGTTTTTGTTGTTAATATTGTAAATAGCTCAATTTCGAAATTTTTTCACAAATTCAGTGCACAGGTATAGCTTACATTTCATTTTTTCTGTTATAAATTTAACTTACCGGTCCATTCTGATCGGAGAAGTAGTTCTTTCGGAAACGTATTTGTATCGTTTGCGAGCTGCGATACACCTCGGTGGGTACTACCTGTGTGGCTGGACGTGGTGGCGCCAATATTGGCATTGTCTGCTTATACTCACGTTCCGGTCCATAGCCCACAGATGTTTTCGCTTGTATTTTAAAAACATACGTTTCACCCGGCCTCAGATTTCGTATAGCACCTGTCGTCTCAGTTGATTCGAATTGTTGGGTTCGCGTTTCGGTGACATTGTTTACATTCATGTAGGTGATGGAAAACTGACGAATGACCCCATTAGCTTCACTCGATGGTAGCAGCCACTCGAAAACTATTTCACTGGGTTGCACATCTATTGGATGGAAGCGTTCGACGCGCCCGGGAACTGCTTCGTTTGTGCTGAAGCTTGCTGAGAGTGGAGAACTGCTGCGTAACACCGACGACTCCGTGCCTGAGCGGACCACTACTGTGAATGTGTAGTTGCGATGCGGACGCAGATCGTTGATCGTGATTTCGTTTCGAGTGGTGATGTTCTGTGCGAGAATATTGTCGGCGGTTAAATATTGCACATCAAAGTCATTGTATTCGCCCTTTGGAATATCCCATTTGAGTGAGATTTCCGTGTCAGTGATGTTGGTGGCATGTAACAGAGTAATGGGTTCCGGGAAGAGACGATCCTGGCGTTGGATTGGCAGGCTGGACACGCCGCCACTTACTGTCCAGACGGTGATATTATAAAGACGACCGGGAATTAACCCAGTGAATGTTACTTTTCGGTCCGTGTCGTTGGCTAACTTTTCCTTGTCTTTTATCTCAGGATCGCCAAGTGAAAAGCGGTAGATATCGAATTTCGAAGATGACTGCGGTGTTGGCGTATATGACAGAGTAATGGTGTCGCGTTCATCTTCTTGTCTGTCGTTTACAACGACCACCTCGGATTGGATTAGCGGCATGGTGCGTGTGGAAAGATGTGTGGTGCGCGAGAAGATCCCGTATGATGTTGTCTGTATGTCGAACTTATACTGCACTCCAGGCATAAGGTCCCCAATCAAGACTCGGACAGTGGATGACTCATCTATTAAAAGAGTTCAAAGTTAAAAAGGACCTGCGCTGGATACTAAAAATACTCAACTAACCTGATTTATTCTCAGAAACGGTTTTGGACTGCCCTTTGCTAGGACTTTCTGTGGGCCACCACTTAAGTATATACGATTCAACGCGTCCTTCAGGCTTCGGCCATTCCAGAGTAATATTGCGCGAGTCTACTAGAGGTATAATATTTGATACCTCATTAGGCGGAACAGTATAAACCACTTCTTGTGGATTGGGACTCTCCACGCCAAAGCTCACGGTGTTCACTTGTATGGTGTACTTTTCTCCTTTGGTCATATCGGTAATATCTGCCTCTGTAGAACGTACACTTGGCAGGTTAATCCATTGCTCTTTGGTCTCTGTCCGATAACGCATCGAATACTCTGTGAAGTCGCTATTTTCAGGTCGTGCCCAATGCACCAGCACAGAATTGCTTCGCACCGTTTCGATGGACATATTGCGTGGAGGATTGGGAACTATGTAGATATAGAATGTTAATAAATTAAGGTATTAAATTAAAGGTATGAAATCGATACTTACATACTGCTTGGAAATAAGCATGCGGTTCACTTCTTAAGCCATGACTAACGGCAAATACTTTCAATTCATATCCAGCGCCAGCGTACAGGTTCGCAATGACCAGACGCGATTCCTTTGTGTCTATAGTTCGCACTTCGGAGGTGCCGTTGCGCGAATAGAGTACTTCATATTTCTCTTGCTTGGAGTTGACATCACTCTTCCAACTTATGTTTAGACCAGTGCGTATGCTCTTGAGATCCTCAATGATGGGCGAAGATGGCCGTGTTACAACGAATATTGTGGTTTCATTTGATTCCATTTTTTTCGATACTGCCTGAACTGAGAGGGAGTAGTTGCGTCCCGGCAGGAGACTCTCCAAATTTGCGCTTGTTCGGTCGGTGGTGAAAGTGCTGGTGTCCCCGTTGAAGGTTTCAAGCTCGTGGTAGCTGTAAGGAAAATGCATGGATTTATAAAACATAAATATTCAATAAATTCGATTTGTTAATATTCCTTACGCTATGCGGTATTCATCCTGCGTACTCGCCGGATCCGGCTCCCATGTGATCCGCATCGTGTTCGTGTTGTCATCATTAAATGAGCGCAAACTGTGCACTGGCAATGGACGGAGCGTAACATCCCCCGCTGCAGGCCATGATGTCACCTTTCCCGAAACGGTTTTTACAATCACGTTGAATGTTTTACCCGGTTCGGTGATATCACGGAAATCGAAGTAGGCTACCGGATCATTGGTCCGTGATACAAACGATTGTCTACGCGACGCGGCTAATGAGACTTGGTACTTGTCAAACTCTGATATGCCTTTTGGCGCCTCCCATAACACTCGAAATGAATTCGAGGAAATATAATCCTTATCAAAAGTCACGTTCAACGGCCGCAGTGGGACAGTGCGGTATTGTGCGGTAGTCGGTGGGGAGATTTCATCTTCAGACATTGTTTGCACAGATATGTTATATGCACGACCTGGGACGAGCCCTTTGAAGGCTGCCTGGGCGGGTCCGGGCGGTTCACCTTCCTTCTCTACGTACAGCACACTTTCTAGTGCATCCGGCGGTTCGATTGAGACTTTGTAATGGGTATAAATTCCGGCAGGATAGGGTGGCTGCCATAGCACGAGCAGTGTGGTTTCATTGCGGAACCAAACGATGAATTTGCCAGGTGTGTTGGGCTCTATTTGGATATTTTTGTTAACGTGTGGTGAATGTTGGATGTAGTAAAAGATGGACGAAATAAAATGATGGGTGAGTAATATTTCGAACTAGAAATATGCGGGCTTATGTGTGTATATAATATATGTACATATGTACATTTTTATGTGCTTGCAAATAAAACCATATGCAGCACATTTTTGGTTGTTTACACATTTCTTACGTGTATGTTTTATCAGTTTATAGGATGCATATTAAGTTTACATGCAATTTAAGAAGAAAATACATACATATATTGTTTTCCTACTTATATAATAGGTATGTATGTACATACGTCATATACATACATAAGACGAGTATTACGCGCCAAACGAAGCCGAGGGGCAACTTTGGAAATTAAGACAGCTTGCCGAGATACATATATGGGGAAATCTTTAGAGACGGGGACATTTTGCGTACTGGCATAATGTTGCCGTCACAAAGCTGCTGCAGTGCCAAGTGTGGTTTGTATACCTTCGTTAATAATACTTATATGTGTAAATATCAAGAAATAGTTATTAAAAACAAAACAAACGGTTTAAATCACCAGTTTACTTGCTAAAATCGAGAAAATCGTGAAATTTCTAGTGCAACTCGCACAAAACCTATTTTTTTATTAAGGTATAACTTCTTGAGCGGTCAGACCTATAGCTCAGGGTTTTCAGACATTTATTTGTAGGTTCTGAGGAATAAAATGACAGGTATTAAACAAATGTGCCAGTTACCAAATGCGATAAAAATGTCTACTTACAACTGTAACTGAATTTCGCGTATTTTATAAAAAACGTGAATTTCCTTGTGGTTGTCGTTGAGCGGTACTTATTTTACATTTATGGGTATAAAATATACTTCTTCAATTCTTTAGAAGAATAATCCTAGGTTAAAGGACAATATGCTACTTATCATTGCCGAAAAAACTTCTTGCGAAAACGAGTGATCAGTGCGATATTTTTTACTTGTTATTGGTTTTTCGTTGAGCACAACCAATCGGTGATTCCGAAATTCGGGTTAATTTTTTTCTATGGATACGATATTTGCAATTAATTTTTTTTTTAATTTTTTCAGTAAAAAAATAAAAAAGGCTGGAATGATTAATTAATTTGTCAGAAACTATTACCCTATCGGAAAGTCATGTATACGCGGTTTATGGAGAATTTCATTGGCTTTCATTTGCCGTATTTTATATTAAGATTTTTAGATTGGTTCGTAAGATATAGGAACCAATTTTTGCTTTAAGCGGAATAACGGTAAATTGCAAATATCTCGCAAACGTCCCCATACAAAAAAAATTAACTCGATTTTCGGAATCACCGAGCAATTCTACATAGGATTTGGATAATGGCATCTATAGAACATTTTTGCTGTAAGCCAGTGAAATTAAAAAAATGGAATTTTAGTTTCTCAAATAATAGTCATCTTTTACTCAATGCAATTGTTTTCATTTGGCGACAAACTAGTTTTATTACACTAAATTCGTTCGTTTTGACAAGAATAACATTTTCACCGTTAAATTTTAACATTTTGAAGCACATATGTATATTAATTTATTAAACTTAAAAAAATCGTTATATTTCGAAAATTATAAAATAGCTGCGACAGATATTGTGCATGCTGCCATTTTTTTAATTTCGTGTTAAACTCTTGAAACTTCACATATGTATACATATGTTGTCTTTAATGGGCGTAGCCAGGTAGGGCAGGGGGGTGCTCGAGCCTCCCCATAACTTTCGAGTTTTGCCTATAGTAGAACCCTGAAATGTCAGCTTAATAGCGCGTTCTCAGCGGCTCCGTCCTTCTAAGCTATGGCATCTTCGCAGGTATTCTCGCAAATTTTACATCCAAATTTTAGAGACAGTACATAGAGAAGGTTCTAATCAGGGTTCGGAAATATTCATATATGAACGTTCGCGAACATACATATATGATTTTATACGCGAAGGAGAACGTATCAAATATTCTGTATTGATTCTCCTTCGCGAACGAGAAGCATAAAACCCATCCAGATAGTTCGCGTTCGCGAATGTTAGGTAGAAAAAATTTCCGCTTTTGTTCGTACGCGTATGTATTGGTGAACCAAACAGCGTGCGTTCATTTATGTATTTAGTAGCTATAAGTGGCAGCGATGCCTTCGCTGCTGTCGTTCTCCTTCATAAGTGAATAGGTGCGTTCGTTTAAAATCTCCAGTTAAAACCAACCAAATGCCAAATTCCGGCGAAATGTCATCTGTTCTCTCACAAGAGAAAAATATCCCAAATAGTACGCGAACAGAAAATTTGCAGAAACTGGCAAGTTAGACGAACAGCTGATATAATTTTTGTTTACATTCAAAAGAGTAAAATTTAAAACGTACGAAAAGTCATCACAAAGTGTTATACTGACACAGTCTATTGATTAAACAAATAACTACTTATTTCTTACAAGTTTAATTAGTCGCATTTTGTCATTTTAACTTCCAAACCATCAAATTAAATTTTGTGATTTGCGTAAATTCAAACCAGCTGTTTTTGATCAGCTGTTTTCCTGTCGGCAAATTGCTGTTGGCAAACATTTTTACAGCAGAAACCAGCAGCTTCCCCTCAAAATGAAATGTCACTTTGCTCTCTCAATTTCTCCTTGTAAGTTTTGGTTAAACATGAACAATTAACAGCTACGCTTACGCAACTAATGTATGTAAATGCTGCGGCAAATATTCGCGGAAAGTTGGTGTGGCTAGAGATACTATTCTGTGCGAAGGCAATTTTGTTAATTGCATAAGATTTGCACCGTTTATTCCATTTTCAAAAATGAGGTGTCAAATGAAAGGGCTTGGCCTCTAGATGTGCAGTAAGGATAAATTTTTTAATATGATTGCCACCTGCGTTTAAAATTATGATATTTACACCGTTCTCCCGATTTTCAAAAATGAGGTGTCAAATGAAAGGGATTGGCCTCTGGATATGCAGTAAGGATATATATTTTTAATAAGTGAATGTATGTAAATGCTGCGGCAAATATTCGCGGAAAGTTGCTGTGGCTGGAGATACTATTATGAGCGAAGACAATTTTGTTAATTGCATAAGATTTGCACCGTTCATTCGATTTTCAAAAATGAGGTGTCAAATAAAGGGCTTGGCCTTTAGCTGTGCAGAAAGGATATATGTATTTTTTTAATAGGGTTGCCACATGCGTCTAAAATTAAGATATTTACACCGTTCTTCAGATTTTCAAAAATGAGGTGTCAAATTAAAGGGCTTGGCCGACAGGAAGAACGCCGTTAGGCGACTTACGGAAGGTTCCAAGACCACGACGAACTCCTGTAAGAACAACAATGGCGACCTAGTGACAGATGTCCAGAATGTACTTAAATTGTGGGGGGAACACTTTTACAACCTACTGAATGGTAGCAGCGCTGAAAGTAGTGATGAGGTGCATGCATCAGCTCGTATGCAGAATATGGTCAGATGAACGCATGCCCGACGACTGGAATTTGAGTGTGCTCTGGCCAATCCGCAAGAAAGGCGACCCCGCCATACGCACCAACTACTGCGGAATTAGCCTTCTAAGCATAGGTTATAAGGTCTTATCGAGTGTACTGTGCGAAAGACTGCAGCCCACCGCCAACAAACTGATTGGACCTTATCAATGTGGCTTTAGGCCTGGAAAATCCACCATAGATCAAGTATTCACAATACGCCAAATCTTGGAAAAGACCCGCGAGAATAGGATCGACACACACACCATCTATTTGTCGATTTAAAAGCCGCTTTCGACAGCACAAAGAGAAGTTGCCTTTATGCCGCGATGTCTGAATTTGGTATCCCCGCGAAACTAATACGGCTGTGTAAAATAACGTTGAGCAATACCACCAGCTCCGTCAGAATAAAGAAGGACCTCTCCGAGCCGTTTGATACCAAACGAGGTTTCAGACAAGGGGACTCCCTTTCGTGTGATTTCTTTAATCTGATGTTGGAGAAGATAATAAGAGCCGCAGAACTGAACCGCTCAGGCACAATACTTTACAAGAGCGTACAATTGCTGGCATATGCCGACGCCATCGATATTATCGGAAAAAACGAGGGCTACGTCTGTTCTGCCTTCTAGGGATAGGATAGAGAAGCAAAGCGAATGGGTCTGGTGGTAAACGAGGACAAACGAAGTATCTCCTGTCATCACACAAATAGTCAGTGCATACGCGTCTTGGCACCCACGCCACTGTTGACAGTTAGAATTTTGAAAAAGTGGATGACTTCGTTTATTTGGGATCCAGCATTAACACCAATAATAATGTCAGCCTTGAAATCTAACGGAGAATCACTCTAGCCAGCAAGTGCTACTTTGGGCTGAGTAGGCAATAGAGAAGTAAAGTCCTCTCTCGTCGTACAAAGATCACACTATATAAGTCACTCATCATGCCTTTACTGGTGTATGGCGCGGAGGCATGGACGATGAAAGCATCTGATGAGGCGGCTCTTGGAGTTTTCGAGAGAAAGATTCTGCGAGAGATTTACGGACCTTTACGCGTTGGTGATGGCGAATATCGCAGACGATTTAACGATGAGCTGTATGAGCTTTACAACGGTATAGACATAGAGCAGCGAATTAAAATTCAGCGGCTCCGCTGGCTTGGCCATGTCGTTCGAATGGACAGAAACGCTCCTGCTCTAAAAATATTCATCGCGGGCCGCGATGCTCTTAACAGAGGAAGAGGAAGGTCTCCTCTGCGTAGGAAAGACCAGGTGGAGAAGAACTTGGCTTCACTTGGCATGTCCAATTGTCCTCAGTTAGCATAGAAGAGAAATGACTGGCGTGCTGGTTTGGACTCGGCCGAAATCGCTTAGCCGGTTGCACCGCCAATAAAAAAGAAGAAGAAGTTCAACTTTCATAAAAAGAATAATAAACATTAAATAAACGAAAGGTAAATAGCCAAAGAATGATAAATGTCTTTTCACTATTAATATTTTTGCAACTGTTTGTATGTACACTAGACCACGTAAAACAAAATCTGAATTGCGACCGGAACCCAGCTCAATTACAGTATTTGCTATAGTAACGATCCTCCCTTCTCCACTATAATTCTAAGAGTTCGCGCATCGAGCATTAATTTTTCCCATAGTAATAACACGTAAGAAAAAGAGTTCTTCTCTTTTTAAGTCTATATAATATTCGAACTGTAAGAATACATTGATTATACGCTATTTAGGTGTTACGCAGGCTCAGATTATTTAAATTCCAATTACTAGACCCAAACAAGGCAAACGATTCAAAAACTATAATTTAGGAATTTAAAGTATCTGAGCCTGCGTAATACTTAAATGGCATGTAATCAATATATTCTTATAGCTTCAAGCATTTTGAATGATGCTAGAAAATTATGTTGATCTCAAAATACTTAGAACTATTTTTTTTACGTTTTATTCCTATAAGAAAAAGAAACGCTTGATGCGTGACCTCTTAGGATTATCGTAGATGGGAAATTCATGGAGGATTAGAGCTATACGAAATACTAAAATCTGAGTCGGATTAAGGTCGCATTTCAGGGTTTTTTGGTCTAATGTACACATACATATGAACATGAATATGTAACAATAAATGTGATTTTTATTTTTGTTTTAGGGCCACTGTGAATTTGGCCCTTAATGTTGTTTAATAAAACAATTTTTGCGTCTAGCAAAAATGTACGGAAGTGTTCTGATTTTTTAGCGCTGCAAAAGCCAAATGTACTGAATTTTGAGAAAATAAATCTGGCAACCTTAACTGGGAGGTGGTGACAACCAGACATTGAACAACCGGTCCTTATCAGAAAAAAGGCAACTTCCATAAAACCCGTCCCCTGATAATAACTCATGCTTCCATTTAATTATTTGTTTTTGATAGTGAGTTAAAATTTTTTTAAGAATATTCAAAGAATTTAGTAATTTATTTTTCAATAATATCAAAAAATGTAAGATTGAAGCTCTGCAAGAAAAAATCACGCAGATTTCTACGTCTGCGTCTCTGAGTAGAGGAAAATACTACATACGTTGGTGAGCTTTCATTTAAGTTCGATGCTTTTGATAGTTTGCATTCAAGCTATCGATACTATCGTTAGTATCGGATAATTTTAAAATGTATTTACGAAGCTATTTATATACTTTTTAGTCTTGTTTAGTTCCTAAAACCCCACCCAATAGAAAGAGCACACTCTAAGCTTTAAGCTGTGGGTCTATAACGACTTCTGCTGAAGCTGCAGAAATGAAGAAGAGCCAGAAAACTTGCGGCACCTGTTATGCGAATGCGCCGCAATTTGTAGAAGAAGACAAAAGTTTGTGGGTTCAGGATTCTTTGAAGACCTAACCGACATAGCCGAAGTAGGCATACGGCAATTTCTGGGTTTAGCGAAATTCACACGATGGTCTGAGTAGGAGGGTTCTAATGATCCGCGTGGTATCACAACGGGCCCACAACCAAGGGCCTATGTGTGCTAGTGGGGTAATTAGCAGCCATTTCAACCTAACCTATCCTAACCTAAGCTTTAATAAAAGTCACCCCTCCTTTATCTGACCCTCTACAGAACACTGTAGACTAAAATGTAAATTCGGGTTACGCATAGGTTGACTTTGCTGAGCTTAAAAAAAAATTACCCTTACCAGTCCAACTCCGGCTAAGCTGACTACAGTATTTTCCGCGTTGGCTGTCTTCGGTCTCGCTTCAAAAATATCCAATAAGCTATTCAAACTAGTTTTTGCAAATTTAAGTACTAATCACACAACTTCAAAAATGCGCCAAATCACAATGCTCCAATAGGTAACATATAATATAAGCAATATGCATATTTCTTCAGTTTGTATTTAAAAAATAAAATATATTTAGTAACATGAAAAAATTTTAACAATATACATATATATATATATATATATATTCATTAATATTTACTACGCTTGTTTGTATTCTAAGTTACCATAAGCAGTCAGTGCAACGTTCGCAACTTTGAAAGTTATACAAAGTCTATCGATAGTGGCCCACGACCATTCGATAGTGCAAAAAATTAGAATCATTCGATACTGTCGATAGAACCATCGATAGTTTCACAGCTCTAGTACAAGGCGCTCTCATAAGATGGTTCGTATCAACTGAAATTTCGTACGTTTTTACGTCGGAGAGTAACCACACTATCATAGTTAGTTTCGATGAAAAAATTATGAAGAATCATGATTCAATATTAGAAAGGTTTTGTAATAAAACAGTCTTCTCGCTCCCACACATAAAATCGGCTTCTTTTTTTTGTGCAGAATGTTGCTCACTATACGGTTTTTACTTATATTAGCAGTAAAACCAAAAATTCTTCATACTAAATATTCGTTGGCATCACCTTCGGTTGCGTAAGTTTCTGGAACAAGTCTAGAATAGCGACCGTTTAGCTATAAAATAACCAACAATACAGATTGATAGAAATTTTTACGCTGATTTCAACGATATTTGGCGCAGGTAAAAAATTAAGAAGATATAAGAGGTTGATTTGCTTTGTTTATTTATATTTTTTTATTATCACTAAATTCTTGAAACCCAAAACTAAATCATGGTAAAATATGTATATCGAATTAAAGATAATAACTTGTACTTTCCAAATAATATAAATTTCTTTACCATTAATTATGCAGTTTTTTTCAAAAAAGGTTAGTGGTTGGGTTTAAAAAAATAAAAAAGCAGATACTTATGTACATCAGTTGAAAGACAAATTAATTATATTTATGGTGACGTCATTAGTTTTGTAATGTAGTTCATAAGATATTAATATTTAAAAACATCAAACAACTCAAATTTAACCTTCATAAACGTCTTTATTTTTTACTTGCGCCAAATAATTTTGGCATGGTTGAGATGAGCGTAAATAGTTTAATGATCTCCATTTTTCGTTTTTGCATAGCTGAACGGTCGGTATCTAGATTTGTTACAGGAAATGACGAATAACTTAAATTAAAAATGCATACTTTTACGTATTGTTTAGTATTTCCATTAAAACACCACATATATTGAAAATTCACATAGAAAAATACACATTGTATTTCTAATTGTATACTTTGCGTACTTTTTTTAGTACCTTTCTACTACCGTTTTGGCAAAAGACGATCATATTCTTCCCCTTTCTGCTACTTCCAAAATACAAATCTAGATAAAGGAGTGTAAAATTTGAGCTATCACAAATTCCATAACTTTGTATTATTGAATCATGAAGAATTATGAAAAAGTTATTGAAAAGTGTTGAAAGATTCTTACTTGTACATGCGTACTTATGTATTTATAGAGTAATTATTTAACAAAGAAACCAAGTAAATGCATATTATAAAACGCGAAATATTTAGTTTTAAAAATTGTTGATATCCTATATCTGTACTATACCTTCTTAAGAAAATCTTTACAAAAGCAAATAACAGTTGTCTTCTATCTTTGAAATTTCAATTCAAGAAGTCCGACGGAAAGAATTCGTCTGTGTGACATTTGAATATGGCATATAATGATGCTTGTTGGCTAAGGAATATTAATCTTAATCGCTTAAATTTTTTTTTCATCCAAAACAAAAAATCAAATCATAAGTTTTTATCAGGTATTTTATGAGACAAAAATAATATTTAAATTTGATGATAGTTTTTCAGCCTAAAATAACAGTAAACGTTTTTCTTATATTTTTTGATCCAAAACAAAAGTCGAAAGTTAATCGCTATTTCATTTGCTTGTTAACATTTAAGTTAGAAACCGTTTGTTGCTACGTATAAACAAGATATGTATTTGAAGTTTGCAATGCAATACAACAATACGAAGATTGATAGTCAACTTTTAATTTAGCTAGAAAATATTAAAGTGATATTTTTACTGTTATTTGGAGTTGGAAAAAGAAATATCTAAAGTTAGCTTTTATTTTTGGTCGAGGAATATGGTATATCAGGCGTCTATTGCTTTACTCAGCTTCAAAGCGAGAATATATGGTAATATTATGGAGCCCTAACTGCCAAAAAGATGTAAGCGATTTTTTTGTTTTTAAATTATTATTTTTTGTTTAATGAAGAAATGCATTTAGAAGCTGAAAATTAAATTTTGAAAAAAAAATGTCGCTTACCTCTTTTTAGCGGTTAGGGCTCATTATGATAATAATATGTGTAGTTTTACTTTTGAACACCGATATGTATGTTTTTTGAAATTAAGACTAATTATGTCATTTATGTATAAATTTTATTATACACAGTTAATAAATAGATTAACATACTGAGCAAAAATAATAGCAGTTGTCTTATAGGCATGCCTCTTAAAAAAATAATAATTATGAAATTCATTCATTCTTTAATGTAATTTTATATCAAACGTGCGAGCTGCATACAAACATTGAGTGCAAAATATTATGAAGGTGTATTTGCAGACGTTCTTTTTTATCATTAAAATACCATTTTACGTTAAATGTGAAATATGTTTATTGGCAAATTTTATTAATACTACAATAGCTTCCACACTTAAATATGTTAGTGTCATACATATTATGGACATACACATGTATATGTAATATAATATATAATCAATAGAAGAATATATTAAATAGATGAATATATTAAATAGCAAACCACAAATATTTTTAGTATTGTTTAGTATGTATAAGTTTACGTACTACATAAATCATAATCAGCCATTCGATCCAATTTTAATAACTATAGATTAGTGCACATGTATGTATTTTGTAAGTTTTGTTACCTCGCAGTATTTTTATATCCAACAATTCTTTATGCCGCGTCCTTCTACCTTTTAGTGGTGTAACGAGTAAGTATTAGCAAAGATTTTTATAAAGTTTAACACATTATTAATCATTATGTAATGTTTGGTTTGTATTTCAATTACAACTGTGTTTAGTTTAAGCTTCATGAACATATAACATAAGTATGTAGGTATAAAGAAATAACACTTTTAGTCAAGAATTAATAACAACAATGTGAAACCAACACCAAAGCATGTTTTTTTGGTTCTTGTTAAAGCTGCTTGCAAAAGCGCAATGCATTGGTTTTATTAATTACTTAATTAGTTAATCATCCTTCACTCCCTAAATCCGCTTAGTAGTAACATTTGCTAGGCCTTAATTCGCCTTTGCTTCGAGACTTACTTGTTGTGAAATTTCGGCTGGTATACGCCACCGACTCCTTGCCATCGTAAACTGTGTAGGCTTGCACCTGATATGTGGCACCAGGCGTCAACTCTTTGACGCTATGTTGGAATGTGTTATTCACTACGAATGTGCGATTATATGAACTGGAAGCACCTGAAAGTCCCAACACTTTGATGCGAAAGGACGTGTAGTTGCCTTGTGTAGGTGGGGACCAAGATATTATTGCATTTTTGCCACTGCGCACTTGCACGGAGAGATTTGAGGGTGGATCCGGCGCTGAAAGGAAAAGTGTGAAAAAATACGTTATTTATATAAGTAAACTCGTTGAGGGAGTTAAAGTTAAACTAAAATTCATGTATAATCTCGAATGTGAAATTAACAAAGTAAAATAGTGCATACATATAAAAAGAACTTTTCACTGTAAGTTAGCTAAAATGACACACAAAAAACGCCGAAACACGTAAACATAATTTTGGGTAGTAGATTACGGCCCTGTATACCGTTTTTATAGAACAGGTCACTTACGTAAGATATTTGCATTTTAAATTTGAGTTATGAATAAAAAAATGCAAGCTTTAACAGGCGAAAAATTTAAAAGTAAACGATTTTTTGTAAATGATTTTGCTTCTGCATGTGTCATCAATCCACACTCGATCGTCACAACAAATACGGCGACTCAGCAATATGAGCCATTGTACAGGCTTACAAGTATGGAAAGCGCCATTTTGTTTGTTTACGTTTGGAAACAGCTGAGATCACCTGATTTCTAATTCTCTTATTCTCCGCACAGAGTTCCATTCAAGATCCAGAAAAAAACTTTGAAATTTAAAGCAAGAAAAATTCTAAAGAAATGTGTTTTTATTTTTTTGAATTGATTAAATTAGAAATATAAAATACATGCCAAGTCTTGTATTTCCAATAATAATGATAATTTTATATGTTTCAGGCAATAATTTAAAATATTTGTGAAACTTATTGTATGCGCTTAAATACAACAATGTGTGTGAAATTCGTTGTCATTGTTTTTCTTTTGAACATCATATTCGCGCCTGCCGATGGAAAGATTAGTTAAATTTGGAATTATTTTTCTCAAAACATTATAAATTCGATATTTTTCAACATATTTATTTCCAGAGCGATATTTATGTGCAAGGGAGGAGTGCCATAAGCAACTGCAGCCAATCTTCTTCGCCAACAGTTCCTTCAGATGTACCGTTTTTCAATGTGACCGTAAACACAGAAGATGAACAGTGACGAGACGCACTTCTGCGGGTATACAGTGCAGTGCAGTGTTTTCATATTATTTGCACAAATGAAAGTGTTTATCAGAGAATAGTTGTGGTTGTTGTTGTAGCGGCACTACTAAGCCCCGCCTCAGTCGGTTTGTCCATCAACAACAACAACGACAATTAATTGTGGAATTATATTGCCCTTTCCATATCAATAGGGGTATTCTCTGAGTCCTGCAAAGCCCTTGCATGGTGCACAGATTGCACTGTATAAAACGGGTTTCGTATGGGACAGCTTTGCAAACTACATATGTCCAAGTATTTAGATGAAGTATTAACATAGTCAATTTAATTTCTTTATGTATACATTTATTCAAAATAACCATAATTAATTATTATTAAAATAAAAAATTATACTTTAAAATGAGTTTTTATTTCACAGGATTTATAGGTAAACAAGAACTTTAATATTTATTCAACCTCTGAAGTAACATCTAAGGTAATCTGGTACTACCGGAGGGCATCCGGCCACGCATGTTCGATTTGGCATTTTCGCACTCTGAAAACAAAAGTGGTATTACATACATATATGTATATACATACATAAACACAAAAGTTAAAATGGTTCAAGAACTTACAGACAAGTTATATGATGAAGTTTGATGATTAATATTAGGGAAAATCGGATGCAAAAATCTTCTGTATCTAAATTTCTATTCAGTTAATTTTATTTGTTCGTTTATTTCAGTTAATTTGAATTATGACATAAACAGGGGTGCTTTGAAACGTATATTTTGAACAAATTTTTTTTTATAAATCTTGAAATTATATAATTATTTTAGAATTAAAAAGGTTATGTTATATTAAAAACTAAATCGTCGCCTCAGAAACCGAATGGCGAATGTGCAAAATCAGAATTTGAAAAACGACACAATTAAAAATTCAAAAAGTAGAATCCCTTACTGCTGTTGAGTGGCTCATGCAGTGGCGGATCCAGCGGGGGGTCGGGAGGTTTTAGGGGTTAAACTACGTGTCAGTCAGTGGCGGACCGACGGGGGGTGTTTTAATACATAGACGCCATATTATACATATGCGCCATATTAAAACACCCGCCGTGAGTCCGCCACTGACTGACACGTAGTTTAACCCCCAAAACCCTCCCGCTGGATCCGCCGCTCATGGCTCTAATCCTTGTTTAATCTTTGTCAAATCTTTACTATAATAAGTAGTAAGGATTAGAGACATAACCATTTAACAGTAGTAAGGGATTTTATTATTGAATTTTGTCGTTTTTGAAAATCTTGATTGTGCACATTTAAGACGACGATATATAGACCAGAACTTTTTTTAAAGTATAGAAGCGATTTGAACGAATGTTCTAAGATAAAAAGTTGCTGAAGTCTAGAAAAAAGAAGTCTGATGAGGAGATGTGGTGATCTCAGAAACTTGTACCGCTTAGACTTTGTTGCTTTTTCAATTTTTCCTAATAAACAATCGTGGTACAAAGCTCAATAAAAATAAAAAATAAAAAATAAAAAAAAGTAATTTTTTATGCATCCGGTTAAAACAGTTCACAGAGGAAACGCCGAGAAAGACATAAAATGTATAGAAAATTAGATGCTAGAAAGCATGAGAAAAGGATGAGAGGCAGGGAATTTGAGTAAAAAATGCTTAAAGGCCGTTCTAAAAACGTCAAGAAATTTCATATAAAATAATACTTTCATTTTTTCTGGATGTAAAAAGTTGTGGTGTAGTGGTTAGCTGTGCGCCCTTTCTGCGCAGGGTCTGGGTTCAGGTCCGCTTCAACCCAATATCAAACAAGTAAGTCTAAGTTCGGGCGGAGCCGAACATTAAATACCCGGCGCAAGTATTTAATATATTACTTTCACCTTTCCGAAAGCTACCGCTACATGGTAAGCCGGGGTGTATCAATTTTGAGTAAATTAGCGTCCTTAAATTTCGAAATATTGAAGTTTCAAGCAGTTGTGAAATTTACCGTTATATGAAAAGTGGCCTCAATTTTAGTCCGATTTCAATAATTTTCAAAGTTTGGCTTTTATGTGGCAAGCACAATAACCATACCGAGTTTGGTACAAATTGGTAGAACGGTTACCGAGATACATATATGTGATCATAAGTGGGCGGTGCCACGCCCATTTTCCAAAATTTTATCAGAAACATATTTCTTGGTAAAGAATTGTTGCAAGCATCAATTTTGAATAAATTAGCTTCAATATTTACTGATTTATCGAAGATTTTGTATTTCTCTAAATTACCGTTATATGGGATGTGGGCGTGGTTATTGTCCGATTTTAAAAATTTTCAACCATTTGGCATGTTGTGCGACGGCCAACAACTGTGCCAAGTTTGGAAGAAATTGGTGCAGCGGTTACCAAGATATACACATGTGGCGTGGCTACGCCCATTTTCCAAAAATTTATAATGTTCTTATTTTTCGTCTAAAACTTATTGTAAATATCAATTTTGAGTGAAAAATCTCCAGTAGTTACTAAAATATCGCAGTTTTCGTATTTCTGAAAATTACCGTTATATGGGAAGTGGTTACAGTCCGATTTCGCCCCTTTTCAAATACCAACCTACCTTGGATAAATGGAAACCTACATACCAAATTTCGTTGAGATATCTCAATTTTTGCTCGAGTTATCGTGTACACGGACGGACGGACAGACGGACGGACAGACAGACATGGCTTGATCGACTTCTCTATTCATTCTGAGCATTTATGTATACATTTGTCTATATCTATCTCGATTCGTTTTGGCTGTTACAAACAACCGTTATGTGAACAAAATTAATATACCCTTGTGCACAAGTGCGCTCGGCTATAAAAATAAAATACAAAAAATAAAATTTATTTTCTAATAGCGGTCGCCCCTCGGCAGTCAATGGCAAACCTCCGAGTGTATTTCTGCCATGAAAAAGAGCTTCTCATGAAAAATACAATCGCCGTTCGGAGTCGGCGTAAATCTGTAGGGCTCTCCGCTTTGTGTGACAACCTCAAGGCGCACGCCACAAATCGGAGGAGAAGCTCGGCCAAACACTAACATATGTGTAAGCGCCAATCTATTATTATTATTATTATTAAAAAGTAATATACCGGAAAGAGAAAGGTTCACACAAACAAGTTAAAATATTACACCCAAGTTCATAAAAAACAAATTAGCCTACTTTATAAATCTAAAATGTTTATTAAGATGTGACTTTATTGACGTATTTTATTTTTTATGAATAAAGATATATATACAGTATTGGCCAATACAATAGCACCCCATTTCAAATTGATATTGTTTGCCACTCATGTTTATTTATTTATTTTTAGTAATTTTCAATAAAAATACAGTTTATTCTCTAACAAAACTCATATAAACCCAAATTTAAAAGTTTTTAAAAGACTACAAAAAAAAGCGACAAATTTTCACCTAAATTTCAAACTTTTTTCTCAGAAGTGTTAGAATTTTTTTCGAGTACACAGTTTTATAGCACAAAAAAAAAAACAAACAAACAAATCTACTTTTTTTAATGTTACGGTATATAGCTCTTTAAATCTGTTTTATTTTTTATGAATAGGGCCATAAGCATATACCGTTTTTATAAAGAAATCTTCTAGCAAGATGCTATATATTTATTTATACACTTTTTGGCTGGCGAAATATGTAGTTTTTTCAACTTAATAAAAAGCGTATTTGACCACATTAAAATTTTTTTAATATTGAATGGCACAACACAATAACTCTTTTTTGTTGCACGAAACCCTTGAACACGTGCCTGTCATCTATTTCTTCTGTTTCGACATTTCGCTATTTTGCATTTCTTTCATTTTGACGTCATTCGCATTGTCAGATTTTTGAAATTCGTTTTGGTTCGACATTCTGCTATTTCATAAGTCTTTCATTCTCAAGTCATCCATCTTCCATTTCTTACCTTCCATTGCCGTTCGCATCGTCGAACGTGCCTGTCAAACACTGCCGCCATCATGCTTTTCAGTTTGGCAGGCACGTCCGCTATTAGAAAGAGAATAGACAAAAA